ACACGTGATTGTGGGGAGAAAAACTGTACATTCTATTTGGTCAATTTACCTACCTTGTAATTCACTGATCCATCCATCTATCCTAGAAACTATAAAGAGGAAAAAAAGCTTCTGAACATACAAAGTTACCAGATAAAACAAATTAAAATAGATGAAAAATGAAAAAGATGGAAATTAGAGTGGGGAAAAAAAGATGTTTATACATATATACATGTGTGTAAAGACAATTTATTCATAAGAAAGGAAGGAAGTTTGCTTCTTAATTTCTTCAGTTTAAATTAATCTTATTATAACCACTATTATAATGCTCTTATTATAACAAAACACTAAGAGAATATTTACTAGTTCCTCATCTGGCCACGCACTATAGTAAACACTACATACCCAGGTTCCTTATATCATGACCATAATGTCTATTGGAGGAGATAAGTATTCAATTATAACAAAATGTAGTAAGTTATAATAGTAATAACATAGGTTTTGTGAGATAACAAAGCAGGATTCTTCTCTGAACCAATAAAATGCTTAAATGGTTATTTCTCTCCTTTGATGCCACTATGTCGTGTTCCAAGAGACTTTTCTGACACATGGAAAGACTGTTGGCTCTTGATGCATGGGGAAATATATGCTCTCAAACGTTACTAGTATAAACGAGATCTGAATGTGTAAGTCACTATATAGTAAGAAAACACATTTGAAAAATGTCCTTTTTCTTATAAATGAAAGCCTCACTCTGATTTCACTTAGCCTGGTAGTACGTTCCTGTCATTCCGTTGGACCAGCCCACACATACTGGGCTCTTGATAGGTCCTGGGCTCGACCATCTGGCCCTTTATTTACTTAATTCTTTTTTAATACTGACAAGTGTATTAGTAACACTTCCTTGATCACTGGTAAATATAGAACCACCGCACAACCAAGATTTTCCCTAATTCTGGAAGTCACTAATTAGTTGTGGGTAGGGGTTGAGGAGTATTACAAAGATATGTTGAGCAGTACTACAATAAGTAATCTGATTCCCAAGACGAAAGCATGTTAATCTGCTTCCCACTTCATTAGAGGAATAAAAAACATCTTGTCATCAGGAAAGGATACAAAGAGAGACCTGGATATCTGGGGGAAGGGTAGATAGGGAGGAAGAATGAATGCAGCATTTAGGCAAGAAATACAAATGCCCTCATATCTTGGACAATGTTCATGGTTTTTCTTGAGATCTTTTGAATGCTTTATCAGTGCGTTTCATGAACATAGTTTATTCAATTAATAAACACAGGCTTCCAAAGGAAACTAATGGGGTAAATGAATCCTATTTAAAAGAACAGATCGTTCTACTGGTACTTAAGTTATACATTAGGCAACGTTGGAAGCTGCATTAATCTTTTCAAACCAGTAAGATCTCAATCACTTGAGCTTGCAGAATAAAATCCTGTAGGCTTAAAGGAGAGAATGCAGTTTCCAAAGATGCTAAAAAGTCATTTAGAGAGACGATACAGTCTAATTATAAGTACTGAAACTGGGAATTTATGTATTTTAAGTCCATTAGAAAACACCTATTTTTAGGTGTTTTTTTTTTTTTCTCTGTTGGATGAGAAATACTCTAACACTGTTTAATTTTCTGTAAGGTTTAGATTTTTCAAAGACATCAGCTTATTGTTGTGTATGTTAATTCAAGCATTAAATTTAAAATATCATAACTCAACGTCCTGAAACTAAAGATTTTGTGTAGGGCCGAGTTAGTTGTCCTCATTTCTAGGATCAAACAACACAGCACGAAGCAAAAGCCTTTTAAAGATTATTTTGGGTTTCAGTCTATCTCCTTTGTTCACAGACATTTTGGGGAAAGGATGACATTCTCTCACAGTACTTAACCCAAATAACTAGAATCTTAACTAAAAACTTATAAAACTGTGGATTGTGAGGTAGGTATTAGTATAACCTTAACCAAATTTTGTAATTAATGGACAAAAGTTAATAGGTTCATATGCGGAAGTACATGATGAAAGGAGAAAGAATAGAATAAACAAGGGGAAAAAAGCGTATTGTTTAATATGTAATTTAAGAACTGTCAAAGAAGTGGGGCATGTCTTATTTACTGGTATATGACAAAAGAAGAATGGATACTTTTGCATACAAATAAATGCAGGTATAGAAACATAATAGAAGTTTTGTGTTACAATGGAACTTGAACTCCTCTGGGCAGTGATCAGCTAAGAAGGAACAGAGACAGTTACAATGCAGTGATTAACTAGCTGACAGATCTATTATTCATGGCAGGTATGTAAGCAGTCAGGGCAGCAATGTTGGTGGCCTCTCCTCATCAAGCAGCTTTGCCAGTACAGACTGGATGCCTGGAACCAGGCAAGACACAAAAAGTAAAACCTATAGCCAGCAAAGGGGAGATTCAGCCCAATTCATCTCCAATTTTAAATAGTACTAGAAATCTCCATTGAAGAATGTTTTCCTTTGGGATTGGTGTATATTGTATTTACAGGATGTTAACTAACATTTACCTCTATTTATCTTACTATGTATAGCAACATGCCCGAAACACATACCCAAATATTCCCAGTATATTACAGAAAAAAGTGATTTAACATTAGTTGGCAAAAATTTCTGTTGATAGGTATGATCATCAGGTTGTTACATGAACAGATGGTCCAAGTGAGTCCATTTCACTGACACTATATTATGTGGGTCTTTTCATCCCAGAACAACCAAATCAAACAAAAACACAATGCAGAAGAGGCCACTGTGCCTTCCCCCGTCCGGTTGGCAGCTTTATCTGTGAAATACAGGGATAGAAAACCAGCGTGGACTATAATCCAGCACAGTACCATTTCCACATAGTAGTTAATCGATATTTAAGTAATCACATTCAAAAATCATCCTGATATTTGTGAAGATGGAAAAATACATGTGATTTATTTTTATTTATCTTTATTTATTTTTTTGAGGAGGAGGATTAACCCTGAGCTAACATCTGCCACCAATCTTCCTCTTTTTGCTGAGGAAGACTGGCCCTGAGCCAACATCCCCACCCATCACCCTCTACCCTATATGTGGGATGCCTGCCACAGCACGGCTCCATAAGCAGTGCTAGGTCCATGCCCAGGATCCGAACCCGGGAACTCCAGGCTCCCAAAGCAGAGCACTCGAGCTCAACCACTATGCCACCAGGCTGGTCCCCACGTGATTTAGTTTTTATCTTTCAACTCCAAGGAGAAAAATAAAATAGTCATATTTTTTACTCTTCAGTTTTTTAAATTAACCAACCGTTTACAGGAACAAAATGACTTACAATTCTTTATTGGTATTCAGGTCTTTCAATGAAATCCCAGAAAAAAAATATATTTTAAAAAAGCAAATTCCTATATTAAAATCCATTTCTTTTTGAAAGACTGTGCTCTCCCTGGGTAGATATTATTTTTACTAAATAATTTTTAAATATACCAGCTGAAATAATCACAACCAAATGAATTAATAGTCTAGCAGATATCCAATCACCAGTTACTGCATTTTACACCATGAGATCTCTTAAAACACACGCACACGTGCACATACACACACACACGCACAGTATTTGGACTCTTAGTACAGCAGCTTCATATCTATAACCAACCCAAAATATAAAATATGACCTTGATTTTGTGAAATAAAAATAAATAATATTGTGGGGCAAGGGAGTGATAAAAATTAAGAACATATTTCTATCTATAACAGCTGGCAGTAAAAACAATAGCTGAAAATTATGTCACTAAAATGCACCTACACATGTGACCACGAAAACTTAGGTGCAAGGAGAATTCTGGTTACCTCTCTTCAAAAAGAACTGATGAAGTTTGAGGTTTAAGAGTACATCTTTAGTACTTCTGTACCTTAAAATATTGCCAAGGATTAATTTTTCATCAAGTTGTCATTTTCTCTGACATTTGGTTTTATTAATCAAGGCATTTATCATTAATTTGTAAAAAATATCATAATTAAGCCAAATAAAATAAAATCCTTAAAAGGTTAAAATTAGAAAGCAGGTGAATGAGGACTTTGACGTTACCCTGTTGACACAGGAGTTTGTGAAAGTGTGGGAATCAAGGTTTTGCAGTGAGTTTGTTGCCTCGATCTCGAGGCTGGCTGGTTTTTAAAAAATGTTATGGAGATTTGATTTAAAGCTCTCTGACAGTTTTGACATTCAGGTGAAAGTACTGCTGCTGCATTTGGAACAATTTGCATATCCCACTGCTAAACGGAATGTTTGAGGTGTGCACTGGCGTAAAGAAATTAAAAACAAGCTATCACACATGCTTAAGTGTATGTATTCACAAAACTGATGGTTGGATCACACCACCCCATCCCCCTCCAATGTAATCTGTGATTTACTCTTCTATCATAAATTACCCTACCATGTTATTCTTGCTGGAAGGTCTAACCAGGCATGTAAGAAGCCAAGTAATTACAGCCCCCTCTTGTCTAAGAACCTTCTTCAATCCCTATGAGCTCCCTAGACACAATGCAGCAACCCTAGTCTGTTATAAACTTCTGGACTTCTGACTACCAGGACCCACTAATTCTCACCTGAATGGTTTTGTTGTCCCCAACAAATGCATTTTTATTCTTAGAGTTAGTTGAAAAGCTCTTCCTGATGAAGAACAGGTACTGACTTTTTGGCTTTAAGCCAATACGTCTATTTAAGAAAAGGGTAAGGTATAAAATCAGAAGAGCTCCACACTGATTTTTAAAAAGGGGAAAGGCTATAATGCATTCCGTATAGACAGAAGAAGAGGAGTAGCAACACCCAAGTAGGCTGAGATATTCTGAGATGACAAAAGGTTTCTTCTTTTTTGACTTATAATTTCAGATTACTTTTTAGGCAGACATAGAAAAAGATATTTAATGTGTCAAAGGACAATAAAGGAAAGACTTGAGGTAATAAACCCAAGGCCTTAAATATTATAAAACATTTAAAGAAGATAAAACCCATTTAAGAAAATATACTTGGACATTACCTTCAGCCTTCAGAGTCTCAAAGGGCAATTCTTAGCACTTCTTTTGTGTGACTGCAAAAAAGAAATACTTAAAATTAGAAGTCTGCCAAGGAAACAATTTACATTTCCATAATGTCTTTATGACTAGTCATGAGAAATAGGTAGCTGAGTTTGGGTATGTCAACTAAAATCTATAGCTTTAAAAGAAAAATAAAGGCTAGCACGTTCATTTGTGTATATGCAGAACAAGAACTCAGTAAAATGTGGCACAAATGTACAATATAAACCGCTGTGGGTGTAGAGTTTAGATGGAGAATAGAGTATTTATTATAGTATGACCATGAATACCCTGAATAGTGTTATTAGAAGCTTTCTTAATTTACAGAATTAAAGGTTTTGTACATTTCTTTTTTCTTTTCTTTTTTGCAGGGGAAGATTCTCCCTAAGCTAACATCTGTTACCAATCTTCCTCCTTTTTCTTCTTCCCCTATCCCCTCCAAAACCCCAGTACATAGTTGTGTACAGTTGTAGGTTCTTCTGGTTCATCAGTTTGAGCCACCGCCACAGCATGGCTGCTGACAGATGAGTGGTGTGGTTCCACACCTGAAAACTGAACCCAGGCAACTGAAGCAGAGCGTGTCAAACTTTAACCACTAGGCCATCAGAGCTGGCTCTACATTTCTATTTTTATAATTAAAAAAAGACTAATCCCAAATAGGCTTTATCCTATTCATTTGTTTACTCTTAATTACAGGGATTTTGAAAAGATTTACTGTGTATAATACACTGGTAAGCACTGGTGTGTTAGGAAGTATACAAAGGTAAGACACAGGCCTCATCCTCAAAATAGTGAGTGAGGTTGTAGAGATTTGCATAAAAAAAGATAATCGAAAGAGAATAGAGTAAATGAGTGGAAAGAAATAGGGAGCAGAGTGTACCATGTTCAATATAGCTTGAACTGGTCTACAGCACCCAATGCATTGACATTAGAACATGGTTTTATATTTCCTGTCTTAGCAAGCTAGGCTAATAGCAGGGTCCTACTCAGATCTGCAGGCAGAGATGTCAAACAAATGGATGAGTCACTTTTAAATTCCTTTCCATCCAAATGCATTTTGATAGTATAGAATCAAAGTTAGGACTGGGAGCAGTACAGCAGGCAGGATGCTGAGGTGCCTTTAAAGATAATTTGGCGAGTTTGAATCTGAAATGATGTAATTAGAAACAACTCTTCTATTAAAAATTGAGTTTGATATTTTATGCCCTTGGAAAGCGATCTCTCTAAATTTGCTATGAAATCTCAATGATGACCTTGATGTCATATTTACTAATAATCTCCACAGAGATTCAGCCATTCAAAAAGTCTCAAAAGCAGTTTTACTAATGGAAATGCATACATAAACATCAGGCAATCCTATAAACCAGTACATCTACAGTAAAAGACCCATTAAAATGAAAATGGTCTGAGAATTTTAATTGACTGGATCTTTAATATGCATAAACAATATGTTACAAAGGGAAAACAAAGAACCAAACAACAAGCCATACCAGTATGCCAAAACAAAGCTGAGTTTAGGCTGTACTAACAGAAAAATGGGATCCAGAAAAGGAAGGTGATAGTCCTGTTGTATTCAGAGTATATGAGAATATCACACTTATTCTGCAACACCAAACTCTACCAGAGGCACTGGGAATTAGAATCTGTTAGGAGGAGATCAGAACTGTTAATCATGGATAAACAGAAGATAACTGGAGATGGAAAAGAAAAAATGTTCAGCTTATAGGGAGGAGGTGGGAAAGGACATTATGCTGTAAAAATATTTTTTTATTTATTTATAGTGTGCCTCCCCCACTAGATGCACATGCCACAAGGGCAGGTACTTTGTCTCTTTCACTGCATCCGCCATTTCCATGAATAGTGTCTGCCACACAGGAGATGGCTGAATATTTATGAATGAAAGATGAATGGCCTGACGACCCTATGAAACCGCCACTAAGTCTGTATCTATTTACAGATAAAGAAATTTGGGGTTAAAGAAGTTAAATGTTAAATGTTATATATTAAATTAAAATTTGCCCTTTACAACTCTGAACTTCTACAACCCATTGTTTAGTCTCCCATTCAATATTCATTCTAGAAGGGAAAACAAACCACGAGCAAATAAATTGTTAGACTTACAATGTCCTATAATTAGTACCATGGGGGCAAACAAACGGCATTGACAGTTACATGGGCTGATATTTTAGGTAGGGTTAGACAAGAAAGCTTCTCAGAAGGGGTGACAATAAGAAAAGGCCTGAGTGAAGTGAAGGAGAGAGTCAAAAACATATCTGGGGGTGGATATGGGCTGTTGTAAGGATTAAAGGAGATACATATTACCTTTCTTAATATAGTGGCTAACAGACAGCAAACAGTACTCTCAATAACTATTATTTTATTATATTGCTATTATTTTTATAAATGGTGAATTCCCCCACCAGATTATATATTTATCAAAGACATTCATTTTTATTTCCCTATAGCTCCTGAAATAGCACCTAGCAAGAATTCAATAAACATTTATAGAACAGAAAATAGGAAGACATAATTACCAGTTCATTAATTAGAAAAAGCAAATAGATTATATGAATATGAAAAAGTCATCATATTTCATATGCTTGAGTCAATCTAACTCTGTTAAATCAATGTCACTTAATAATTAATCTTTTTCTGAATTAGAAAGAAAAAAGGGAAAAATATATGAAATGACTAGAGCCAATAAGTCATAGATTAAAAAAAGAAGAAACAATAAGAAAAAAATGAAGTTGTCAATCAGGCCACTGTCTTGACCATTAACATACTCTGTCTGCTTCTATCCGATTAATATATTTTCCCAGCGCAAGGATACTACTGCACAGGTATCTGATTCATTTGTGTATCCCTAATACAAACACAGGGCCTGGTATATAGCAAATATTCAATAAATCTTTGTTGAACTGAATTGAACTAAAATTATCTTTAATAGTTCTGATGCTTTTAAGTCAGTTCAAAGTTTTTAAAAAATTAATAAAACAAAATAGGAGATTACAACAGAAAAAAATATCAAGTGTTAGGTTTTGGTTCCGCAGCAAAGGAGTAGAGAACAAGGTTAGTTTTCACCAAAGAGTGAAATGTAAGTGACTGCAAGATACTGGCAGGGTAAGAGACAGATCAGTAGAACAGACCACAAGGAGTCGAGTGTGGGGTAAATATTACAGGTAGCATTTCCACAGTGTTGAGATACCTGACTAATTATATGAGAGAAAAAAAAATTTGTTCTCTACTTCTTACCAGGCACCAAAATATAAATCAGACTGATATATTTTAATATAATAAGTAAAACAATCAGAGAGCTTTAAGAAAACCTATGTATATAATTTTCTGAACTCTAAGGTGAGAAAGCCTTTTTAGGCCCATAAGCAGTAGTATATAACATAAGCAGTGGTATGTAACAGAAGCACAAAGATTTATGAATTTGACTAATTAAAATTAAAAATTTTTATAAGTTCAAAAATATCTTGAAGAAAACTAAGAGGCCAACAAGAAATAAATATTTTGAATGTATATAATATTCATAGGGTTTAACAGTTTTTATATATAAATGAATAAAACAAATATCTCATTTTTTCAAATGAACAGGAAATTCACAATAGGAGAAATACACGCTGATATATATGAAATAATATTAATCTGTAATAGCAATGAAAGAAATGCGCATTAAAATAAACTAAATATTCCATAATGAGCTGGTTAAATAAATTATACGTAATATAATAATAAGTTGCCAATAAATACAGGAAGTAAAAGTTTATAATACACCATTAAGCTTAAAAAGCAGGTTGTAAAATGGTAATAAGAGGATATCAATGTTTAATAATTTGTATTATATATCATATATACATATATATAGATTATGCACAATGTTTGGTCATATGTATGTATAAATGTAGATCTGTAGGTATGCATGTGTATGTATTAGAAAAAACATATTCATATTAAATAAAAGCATGTAAAGACTATATATACTAAATTATTCCTAGTACTTATCTCAGGTATTAAGATTATGGCAGATGTTTTTCTTCTTACAATTTCTCTTCAAATTTTCTAGAACAAACACAAAGTACTTTTTATAAACATAAAAAGCACTAAAACAAGACATCTAGTCTATGTTGCAGAAAAAAATTAGATGATATATTATTAGATTTTCTGAATGTTAAGAAACCCATTTGAAAATGTCTATCTGGTGAAATGTCTATTTGGTGAAGACCACCTCCATTAAATCTGTAGATTTAAAAAAAGAAGAAGGAAACAAGGAAAGAAGATTGAGTGAGAGAGGGAAAAAAGAGATCAACAAAGAAAAAAGAAAGAAAAATAAGATTTGTAAAAAAAACCCAGCAGCCACCTATAATGGTATCTATTAGATTCTTAGAAGCCAAATTTTAACTGATTACATCTTTAATTAAATTTTCAAAGAAAGGCATAGCCTGGAATGTATAAAACTTAAGAAGTTTGGGGTTATATATATAGTTAGCATACTACTATAAAAGAAAACAGATAAAACATGCATCAATTTCAGTGATAGGGCCACCATAGAGAGACCAATAAAATATGCCAGGAGAACAGATGAAGCCATACGCAATGAGTTTTGAAGTAGAAGGAATATAATTCCAAATAGGTGAAAATTAAAAGTAAGGAATTGACAATTTAGGACAAAATGAAAAGGAACTGCTAAACGCTATCCTCTATCAATAATTACAGAAAACAAGTCTTCAGTAAATAAAAATTTAAATACTAAGTTTGGTTGTATCTCATCAAAAATGTCAAATGAAAACCAATTTATAATCCTTACAGAACATCAGAAAGAACCTGTGCATACATAGCCAGGAGGACAAGATATATTCCCCCTAAGACTGGAAAAGATTTAGTTCTAGTCCATCCATAATGGTGCTTCTTAACGTGGAGGTATTCGTTTTGGCTTTGGGTATTATCAGAGTTTTTAAAACAGCAGAGAAATCTCATAAGTTCTAAGGTGGACTTCATCAAGAACCCATAA